AAAACCACCAAAACAACAAGAAAACCAATTCCTTGAAAAGAAGGAAAATGAGCGCATGAGTGGTGGGAGTGGAAAAAGGTTTTCCTAGGAAAATTTTTGCCATCAAACATGAATAAATGTGGAAAATAGAAAAAAATTTCCAACTTCCATGGAAATTTTTTATAATCAAACAGGGCCTAAGTAATAATTTAGGGTCCATTTAATAGGCAAAAATGGAAAAGAAATTCAATTCCATATTAGTTGGAAAATAAAAATTCATCAAACTCATAGGAATTCGTTTTCTATAAAAATAAAAAAAATACAGTTTAAAGTGGTTGTACCTTAGAATTCAGTTTCCATTTTACAATCAAACGATCTAAGTGGAATTCGTTTTCCTCGAATGTGAGTAATCAAACAGGGCCTTAGAGAAAAATATGAACCATGAATAAAATTAATCTCCATCATCTATTTAAAGGGACTGAAACTATAAAAAGGTCTAAAAGGCTTCACTCGTAACCAACCAAATTAGAAATTGGGTAAGAGATAAATATTAAAAATAAGAGTATAAAAAAAATTATAATATTTTTGAGACTTTATATTTAAAAACATATATCATGTCTCCGTTAAAACAATTTTTTTGCTTCGTCCTTGTATCTACCAAAGCATGTCCGCACTATATATATATAGTCATTCCTTTAATTTATCTTCTATCGACGATATCGACTTAACTATTGATGCATATTCTATTTTCTATTCACCACACATTTATTTAACTATCCTCATTTTCACTATATATTGATCTTAAGAGTACCGTTTTTTCCCTTCAAGGACTAACTCTTAATACCATAATGCGTGATAAAAATATGGATTTTTCTCCTTGTGGGCCCCCCCTCATGTGAGGGGGCCGGTAGGGGGGGTTGTACACCCCCCGGTACGAATAGTGCGGTTCTAAAAATATTAATGAATGCAAATAAGGTTAAACTTTATGTATCGTACTGTTGAATGATGTTCCATACTTTACACAAAAGTCAAAACAGACGTTTATAAGTAAAAAAAAAAAAATTTGAATAGCATATCATGGAACCATTTTTTCCTTTAAGAACCACCCGTTAGTATCTTAACGTGTACTAACGATATTAAAGATAAGTTTACACTTTATATATTGCACCATTCAATTTTGTTTGATACTTCTACCAACACACGCCATAACTAGTATTGAATCCCACCTACCCCTAGGGGCATAGCCTAGTGGTGCAAAAGACATGAGTGAAGTAGTTTCAACTGAACTGACAGCAGCAGTGTGATTGTTCGATTTCTGACTCTTATAAGGAATGGAATTTGACTCTTTGTGGGCACCGGTATGACAACTCTTGTACCCTGACTTGTTGAGGCACATCCCGCGATTTACCTCTTCCACAATGCTCTAGGGGCGGGGCGGGACGGAGCGGTACCAAACCATCCAATTCTATCGAATAACAGTCCCAAAAATAGTGTTGGCTTTTAGGCAGCCTTCTGATTGGTTAAACCACATAAACCATTTCTCCCTAACACGCTTTTAAATTAAAATTAACACTAGTAATAGTCCGTGTTTGGCCCCATTTTTAAAATTCATTTTCAAAGGAACCTAAAATTTTTATCAAATTTTCAGTAACATCTCCAAAAAATCTGGTTTTTTGGCAAAACCAAACATGGCATAATTCTTCCCATATTGCTATTTATATACTCCACTAATATGACACTCCTCCTCTAAATTCTTCTTTCCTCCTCCCTCCACCTCCACCTCCACCTCCTCTTCCACCACCTCCTCCTCTGTCCACCACCTAAAACATGGTCAAGTTCTCCAAGGAGCTGGAAGCTCAGCTCATCCCAGAATGGAAGGATGTCTATGTAAATTATAGGCAACTCAAAAAACATGTAAAAAGGATTAAGTTAGCAAGAAAACCAATGAGGGCTTCTGATACTAATTATGATTTCGGACGATCCATTTTTGATCCCGTTCGAGATTTTTTTAGTCGAATTTACAGCAAGCTCAACAATGGAGAAGAGAAACCAGAGATAGCCCAGGTAATTAATATCTTAAAATTATAAATTAACTAACAAATAAATGTATCAGCAGTAATAATTTGGTTCATTTTCTTAATTCTCTCACTTGGTTCATTTCTTGTTGATTTTTCACGTTTCTTTTGGGTGTTAGGCAGTTTTCTAAAGCATCCTCCAAAAGGTGGCATAAAACGCGAAAGTCTTGCAGATTTTCATCAAATATAAGAATATTCTTCACCTTTTACAGATTTTTCACTAAATTTAGAATAGAATGACGATCGTTTTCTGGCAGAAATTTAATTACTTTTTTCTAAGTGGCGGCAAGAAAAATGTGTACTTTTATTTCTTTCAAGAAAGTTACTTTTAGCTCATTTTTAGAACAGAATTGTGGTTTGATCAACTTTAGATGTGCAAGTCGGCCGGAAAAAAGTTAGAATTCACTGAAATTTTGATAATCTAACGAATTTGATGATATCATAAAGTTTCACCTTTTTTTTGGTTTGAAATTTCCATTTGCACGGAACACGGTTTGCTCTCACTTGCATCATGAAGTTATCGTGAAAAAGTGAAACAAATTATATAACAACCCGGAAAAGGTTCGATTTCAAAAGATAAATTAATAATATTTACTGTAAATTTCTTAATTACATGCGAAGACGAAGATCAATGGAGGAAAAGATGGAGGAGAAGAAGAGCAAGAGGAACACGAAGAAGTAGAAGTATATGAAACTGAGCTTGTTCAGCTTTCTGAGGAGGATGAGGTAATTAATTAATTAATATAAATTAAAAAACTCAAAAATCGTGTTCAAGAACGCCTTTTTATGTTATATTAATTACGAAAAGTATTGAGATTTTTGAAGTATATTTTTGGATTAATTTGAGGTGCATGTATAGATTAAGGATTTTTTCGAAAGATTGGACGAGGAAGTGAAGAAAGTGAACGAGTTTTACAAGACTAAAGAAAAAGAAGTCTTGGAAAGAGGTGATATTTTGAATAAACAGCTTCAAATTCTTTTGGATCTCAAGCGGGTTCTCACCGATCGACGTCGGAGAAATGTAGCTACAAATACGGGTTTCGGGTTTTTTTCTCGCTCTAATTCATCGTCTGGCCGGAACTCCGATTATTCCGGTGAGTTACTATGTCGTTTGATACCTTAAAGTTCTTCGTAAATATTATGGGATTAATTATTTTACTTTAGACTTGCACAAAAAATAAAAAATAAAAAGACATGAATGCATACTTAGATTTCCATGATGTTGCATGTTGCTCCACTTTGAAACAACAAATCTAATAGAATAAATACTATTCATAGTGAGAACTATCGGTAGTCGTCTTACGTGGCATACATGTAACAATTTGCTTTTTGATGCACGAGGCAATAAAAAATTATTATATTAATAAATCAGATAAAAAACCATCATATGTATGCAACGTATGAATAGCATTACTCCAAATCTAATACGTAAAATTTGTTATCTTCCAAAATTAGAACAACGTTAATTTAATGAAAAATGTCTCTAGGAAGTCACACTTATTAAGGAAATAGTATGCTTCTAAATTTCAAATCATGCAATCTCATAGATCCTTGTATGTGTGTGCGCGTGTAGAAAGCCAGAGCTACTATTCTGATAGCCCAACGGAAAGCCAAAGGGAAGATGTTATTGCAGCATTAGAGAAAAATGGCATAAATTTCGTTAACTCGGCGGCCCGTGGGAAAACAAAGAACGGGAAGCCAACGATGGCCATGAGAATAGATATTCCGGCCACGACCCCGACCCGTTCCATATCGGCCGTCACATCAATGCTTTGGGAGGATTTGGTCAACAATCCGAAGAAGGAAGGAGGCAGGGGAGGAGAATTTATCAATCGAAAGAGAATACAGTGTGCCGAAAAGATGATAAGAGGGGCTTTCGTCGACCTATACAGAGGCCTCGGCTTACTTAAAACATACAGGTAAAATTCCTTACATTAAACCTACCTTAAATTGTTTACATGTTCTAATGGATTTACTTTTTTTGGGCAGCACACTTAATATGATGGCTTTTACGAAGATACTGAAGAAATTCGACAAGGTAATTTTGAAACGTAACTCTAATTGTTGCTTGCTAGCTGTAAACTCGTAGCGCCGTTTGGGTTCCATTAAAATGATTTTTTTTTGGGGGGGAAATGTGTTTTGGAATAATATTTTTTTGGAGAATACGGGATTAAAAAATAAGAAAAAGTTTTGAATTACGTATAATATTATTTTATATGAGAACGTGTGATTGAAAATGAGTTTTGAAAAAAAAATGTATTATTATTATTATTTTTTTTTTGAGAAATGGAGCCCAAATAGGGGCTTAAAAGAAGTAATTTCTTTTTTGAATAGGATAATACTATTTTTTGTCATTGAAAAATTTTTTTTCGACGGTGTTGTCATAAGAAATTATTTTTCTTGGTTATGTCGTTACGTACAAAAATTGTATGTCATTACCATTAGGAAGGCACAAAGAGACAATTGAAAACCACCACCAACACGATTTTAACGATTAGGACACATCAAATAGAGAGAGAGAGAGCTGATAAAACTTTCCATTATTTTCTAACTTTCGTTTTTCTAGTCGAGTCGAGTGTACCAAACACGCACCAATAAGTATTAATTAAGTTTGCTTAAAATGAAAAAAGTAGTTATTTGGGTTATTAAATAATTCGATTGTACCAAACAATGTGTTGAAGAAATAGCATTTTGACATTCTCAAAATGTTATTCATGAATTTGATTTTCTTCTTCATTTCCATATATAGGTATCAAACAGGCAGGCATCTGCAAGTTACCTCAAAGAAGTGAAAAGGTCCTATTTCATTAGTTCTGATAAGGTAAGACATAATTTTAGTCTGGTTCTATCGATTGACACAACTTAAATTTGGACTCTCTAAGTTGTTTCGATTCAACACGTTGATCCCACCGTAGGTTTGTGTACAGTAGGGGGCTATCGTTTGACACTGAAACAACTAGAATAATAGTACAAATATGACATTTTTTTTTTTATAAAAGATTTAGCTAATTTTGATAAAAATTGATATAACGTGTGGCTGAACAGTTGGGTGAAAGTCGTGGGTTTCTTGAAATATGTCATTTAAATTGAAGTTCGACCAGTTGAAAAACCGATAAAATCTTAGAGCTTGTTTGGGAAGGATTAAAATCAGATTAAAATTGAAAATATAGCCGTTATTGTTGACTTTTATTAGACGGGTGGGACCCAATAACGGCCATATTTTCAATTTTAATTGGATTTTAAGCCCTCCCGAACGGGGCCTAACCTTAAATTAAAATCAGATTAAAATTGAAAATATAGCCGTTATTGTTGACTTTTATTAGACGGGTGGGACCCAATAACGGCCATATTTTCAATTTTAATTGGATTTTAAGCCCTCCCGAACGGGGCCTTAATAAAATTTTAAGAAACAAGCACTAAGGTTCTGCATGACTTTATTTATTTGTTTATTGCATTTACAAAAAGAGAGAGAGTTTTAAAAAACTGTGTTGTGCAATTAAAGGTGGTAAGACTAATGGACGAAGTGGAGTCCTTATTCACACAGCACTTCGCCAACAAAGACAGGAAAAAGGCAATGAAATTTTTAAGACCCCAACAGCTCAAAGATTCTCACGTCGTCACTTTTTTCGTCGGTAATTTTCTCTCATTCGTGTTTTTCTCGTTTCAGGATATATTTGATGAATAAAGTTAAGTGTACAACATTGGTTGCTAATCATGAGTTGTAAAATTTTAGTATGTAATGTAGAAAACTGTAAGATGATATAAAGTTAAGTGTACAACATTGGTTGACAACAATGATTGACAACCATGCATTGTCAAAATCCTAGTATATGACGTAGAAAACAATTTTTAAAATTGATGGATATGATGATGTCAAATAGGATGTTGTCAATCAATGTTGTACATGTAGCATGATTTATATTTGTTACGTATTATACTGCATACAAAATTAATGAATAATTACATTTTTTTTTCTTAGTCATAATTTTGTTGTGACCTTTTGTAGGTTTATTCACAGGTAGCTTTGTGACGCTGTTCAGCGTGTACGCAATCTTGGCGCATTTGAGTGGCATGTTCACTTCTAGTACTGAACCTGCCTATATGGAAACCGTCTATCCGATTTTCAGGTAACCCTTTTTTTTTTTTTTTACATTATCTCGTTTTTAGCTTCTTTCTGTACGTTCTTGTGCATGGGTGACAATCGCGTCCGCTCGCATTGAGTCAGGGGCGGGCCAGCCCTTCAAAGTAGGGGGGTCCCGGAGTTGAAGAGG